CTTCTTTTATAACAAAAATGACTTCCAATAACAGAAATACTTCTGATCATTACTGCTGAATCTATTACAATTACTCACAAACTATTTCTATATACATGGTTTCCCCAGACAAAAAAGAAAATATAATCGAAGGAATCTAATAGATAATAAAAATAACAGCTGAAAGTATAAAATGATCATCTTTAGTTTCATTTAATCTGGCTCATTAAGTCTATACACATGTGGCCAGGCCTGATATAATTTTTTAAATAATTTGCCTGCCCCATAAAAGTTTTATGAAAAGTCTACCCTAGCCCCTTAATTTTTTTTTTACAAATTCCAGTCATCACATTTTTAATATCAAGATCTAATTTTTCCTAATGTCAATTAAGGCTCATGTCTCTCCTATGACTATCTATTTCTGTAAAGGTTAAAATCATTGACTGTATTTGTAATTGGATCATATCATAAATAAATGTTATATTTTTGTGAATTAGTAATATTATTTATAGATTTTTGTTAGACAGCTCTTAAAATAAAATATAAAGAAACAAGCATATTATAATTTTTCAAATAGTATTAATCCTGAAATTCAAATTTTTTTTAATCAACAGAAAATCTTACAAAAAATAAAAGATTTACGAAGCCCCACCTGATTTTTAAGTTGGCTGGCCCGTTTGATGAACTTTGCAGATCTCTGCAACGGAAAAATACGTGTTACTTATTTAGTAATGCTTTTACTTTTGTAATGGGCTATTGGTCCTATCGATCTTAGACTGGTATTTTTTCCAAGGAACATGTTATGGATTATTCATTTATTTTTCTTGCCCAGACCATAGTTTGGATAGATCCTTATTATATATAAATTTGCCTTTACAATTCAATTTATATAGTTTTTTTACCAAATTTTTTGTATAATTTTTTTAAATAAATTTATAGAGTAGGTACTTTTTGTGATTGCTTTTCCTTTTTTTCATTATATTTTGCAATATATTATGAAAATGAAAAGTTTATCAAAAAAAAGAATTTGTATTTTTTAACATAAAATTTCTATTTAATAAAATGATAAAACATGAATTGGAAAGGAAAATATTTTAAAATAACAAAAGATTAAAAACAGATTGTGAACTAGTCTTTTTTCTAAGGACCATTGTCAGGTCCAGCTAGTGGGGAACTGTCTGGCCATGACATTCACTATGAGTTACTAAACAGCATTACCTATTACATATTTTACGTTAAGCATACAGGTTATAAAAAAGTGTTAATTGACAAAATGAGTTTTATATTTAAATTTCAAATATTATCACGTGTTATTTTTTCAACTTTAAATCATTATTTAAGCGCCTTTTTTTAAATTTAAAAATATAATTTTACTGGAAATGTATTTTATCATGTTTAGAATACCTACCCTATAAATTTTAGACAATTTCTTCATGAACTTTTGAACTTAATATTATTAGTTTAGATTTTTTATATAATTTATAAATGACTCAATGGTAAAATTGTGTATAATTTATAAGATAGGCATTCTAAACATGCTGAATTCCATTTGCGGTAAAATTAGATTTTAAAATTTAAAAAAACACGCTCAAAAAATGATTCAAAGTTTAAAAATAAACACATTGCCGCTAACATACATAAACATAAAATAACTAAAAACTGATAATATCAAGAAGTTTGGGAGATATCAGCCAAATTCATTATTTTTTAAATGTTAGATAAGTTAGATACAATATAATCCAATATTTAAAATAAAAATAACTATAATTTGAACTAACCCCAAAACAGCTTAAGAGTCATTCCTATATCAAATCCATTCTCAGTTTTGTTAAAATTTGGTATATAAGTTAATGAAGTGTTGTAATTGATGAATCCAAATATTAGCCGCTTAAATTTACCAGAGCCGAAGATAAAAGTCTCAAAGTGACTCTGCTTGGTCATTTTTCGAAAAAAATGATTTGCATAAATTTTGAATGAAATTAATGATTTATATATATTTTTTTAAAATGTTAGAATAAATTTTTTTTCTCCAAATTTCAGATATTTTGTAGAGTATCAAGAATAGTTCATGGAAAATTTTAAGTGGTAAAATAAAAGTTAATAGGAAAAATGCTCAATTAAAATTGCATTAATAATTTTAAATAGCTTTAAGCTTAATTTTTGAAAATACAAGTCTATCTACATTTTTTCCATAGCTTATAATAATTAAATAAAATCGCATTTTGAGATAAAGATAAAATTTCCTCTAGATAGCTCAAGTAATAAAAAAATTATTATAAAATATGCCAGACGAAGTTGTATTTTATTGGATAATTGATTGAATTAATTCATAGTAAAATTATTTATTATAGATGCTTAGTTATCTAAATTTTATTTGTATATGTTCATTTCGGATTCTTCACGAGCTAAATTAAGTTATTCCTGTATTGGTCAAAAGGTTGAGGACGGTTAGAACATCATTTTTCGGATGAATAAGAATATCAGGTATTAATGAATAATAAAAGGGCTGGGAAGACCCATTAGGGTGTAAAAATATTATCTTTACTTCTTTAGCACTAATAATCGCTAGAATATATGCCACCCACCATTCATTATCATAAAAACATTTACATACGCTTTAATATCATTGGTTGATATTTCGTCTAATCAATTTTGAATATATTGCGGCGTGATTTGAACAGCACCGGAAATTTTTTTAAAAATAATTTGTGATTAACAGGATAAACTGCAAGAATTTTCGAGTATGGAAAGAGATTTTGAAATCTATAAATATCGTGTTGCTAATTTTATAATTGATTCTTTAACTCCAGGTCTATAGGACATTCTCGGCAATCGTCAAAGTAACAGGCTGGCATTTAAGGATCTCGGTAAGTTTTGATCTCGCCCCTTATTTTTTGTTAAGGCTGCTACATCGCTTCCTATTGGTAACAATTTAATATTCTGATGCATGTGGCAGACGCATATTGAGTAACTGCCTCTTGAAACTGACATAATACAATTTTGAAGGCCAAAAGTAGCTAATTATGAAAATCCTCTCTTAACATCAGGGTAGGTTTCTTAAAATATAAAAAAATTTCTTTTAAATTATTTAAAAGTAATCGTTTTTGTATAGTAATTCTTTTTTTATTTTCTATTATTGAAATGTAATTTTTTTCCCGAGCGTAGTCTACTATATTCATCATTTAAATAAAACTTTCACTGTGGTTTTGATCTATTTTAGAATTTTTTTAATTTTATGTATGGTCCAATTAGGAGGTAATGTAATTAATACTACTTCCATGTTTTCGATAAGAATGGATAATTATTTTTCATATCAAATCGTTGCGTTTATTTATCTCCATAACTGGTTGAATTTCTCCTATACTGAGAAATTCTAGCAAGCTTTGCTTAGGATATCTCTTAATCTTATTAAAATTGGAGATTGTCCAATATCTAATAACGTTGAATTTAAGGACTCAAAAAATATGTGGGGAGTTGTGCGTTATCGTTATTAATTTGAATTTCATTTTTTCTAAGGTGGAATTTAAGAAATCATTTGAAGTTGTAGTGTTGTTACCCAAGTAAAGTGAAATGTCCTTCTTTTTTATAAAGCTAAGTGACATGCAATACGCCTATTTTAATTTTAGCAAAATCTATCATCCATTTACTTTACGTAATTCATTTTTGAAGAATTAGAGGAATTTTTACTATCATTCATTTACTTTACGTAATTTTTGAAGAATTAGAGGGATTTTTATATATCATGATATTCAAATTTAAAGTTTTATTTTAAAAATCTATAAATTTCTGTAAAAATTGACAACTAGAATTGATAAATTATTGGGAAAAGGAATCGAAAAATAATTTAAATCATAATTAGCTATTTAAAAGTATTTGCGCTATTTAGCGAAATTTTATTTTGTGCTAAAATACGATTTTATTTAATAAATATATTATGGAATATAAAAAATGTAGATTGACCAATTTTAAAAATTCTTGATACTCTTTACACAATATCAGAAATTTGCAAAAAAATTAATTTTATTCAAAATATATAAAATGAGGCTTAATAGACATATAGTGCTTCTAATATTAAGGTTATCCCAATTTTAAAATTCATTTTTTTTTGAAAAATGACCAAGGAGAGCAATCTTGAGATCCTATATTCCCAGTTCCAGTAGAGATAAGGTGATTAATATTTTGGATTTGTCAATTACAATTCATGAATTTATATATCAAATTAACAAAATCTGAGACAGTTCGGTTGTACAGTGATTTGATATGGAATGACACTCATGTTTTAAGCGAGGGGTGCTCAATGTTTAGCTAAAAAAAATTTGTACCTTGAGGCTGAGGCAAATTAACAATATTTGGGATGCATATAAAATTATAGACCTGTTAGACTATTGATTAATATTTTTAAAAAGAGATTACCAAAAATGTGTAATGCTGGTGCAAATGATAAAGGCAATCTTATGATCTTAGGTAAGTGCCTATTGGAAATTTACAAAATCATATATTGTGAGATGGTCGCTTAAATAATTTAAACAAATGCTGGTATTTATATTATTGAAAAATTAGCTGATTCTTAACAAAAAAAATTAATATAATTACAATGTTATATGAAAGGTAACCTGATAAAATTGATTATTATCAAAAGAATAGTCAAAATTTTAGACAATAAGCAATGAGAACAAATGTTAGATATTTAAAAACAGAAATAGTTATCCCATTTAATCTGCAAATATAAATAGATAGAAAAAATTAACCTTTTGATTTGTATCATTCTTTAGCAGAGTTGTTAAAAGATACTTTTTAAATGGATCCAGATACATCGTCTAAAATAATATCTAGATACCAATATTTTATTCAAAAATCTATCTAGATACAGATACCACATTTTTATATCTAGATCCTTTAACAACTCTGTTCTTTAGTGAAATACTAAAATCTTTAATTAAGTAAACATTATCAAATACTTATTAAAATAAATTATGATAGAATTAATTTATTTAATTAAATTGATAAAGAATACATGCATAAATATAACTGCGAATCTAAACAAAGAATGAAAATATTTTTTATATACAATACTATTATAGAAAGCATAAAAAACAAGTCTAATATCTATGACTTGATTCTCAAAAGGACACTTTAGAAAAAGACACTCTAATATAAGATTCACCAATTTTATAATTATGCAATACTATCAAGGTCTCAATAGCTTCTTCCTCGTTAGACATTTGCATCAGTGCCATTTTCTGATCTTTTGGGAAAAATCTAAAATTTTTAACTTGCCTACCATCCTGAGAAAATAAACTAACTAAAAATTCTTCAGTTGTACTAGCAGGAATGTTAGATATATGCAAATTGCTTGATGGCGGGGCAATATTTTGAAAATTTTTAGAACCTGGTTTTTTAAATCTGTGTAAAGGAGAGGTTGAAAAATCTTTGGTTAATTCACTTTCAGCATGATCCTCTTTAGGAAGTTGAACATTTTGGATTTTAGAAGGAACAACTCCTATTACTTTTCCATATAATGTTCGTTTGTTTAAATTTTGCATGGCAACATTGAGTTGGGTGAAATCGGACATTTGGACTAGGGCATTACTCTTTTTATTATATAATATTTTAACACGTAACACATCACCATACACTCCAAATAAAACAAACAATGAATATGCAGTTATTTTTTCCTCATTTAAATTAGTTACTAATAAAACAGTAACATTTTGTGGATTAGACATAATGCCACCAGTATTAGAAAGCATATTGTTATTTAATGAATTAAGTGACATAGCCCCACTTGGTTGTAGGGAAAATGAAGAAACAGCTGCTTGTAGTGAAATAGGAGATCCACCTTGGCCAACATTGTTTAACATGTTATGTAGGTGATTAACTGTATGATCCATTGAGAGATTCTTATTTGGCGTGTTATCTTCTAATGATTTAATTTGGAGATTGGAGAGATCAGAATACTCAATATTAAGTGTATCACAAGCATTATATATGTTTTGACCATTTAGTGCTGTTTTAGCTTTTTGTGCAGCAACAACATCATTATATTGTATGATTGCATGAAATACATTATTCTTTATAAATGATATGACTTTTGATATAGAACCAAATGGTAAAAATATTTGCAGTAATACATCTGTGTTTAAAGGATAAACTAAATTATCAACAGTAATTTTCAATATTGAATTAGGTAGTGAGCCATCTTGAGATTGACTAAAATTTGGTGTATTATTAAGGAGATTTAACTGATGAGAAGGGTTATTTGTTTTTAATTCTTGATGATTTGAATATTGCACAAATATCCGACGATTATGTAATGTTACAGGAGTTTTTTCATAATATTCAACCATATTAATAGCAGCTTGAACATCCGATAATTCTAAAAATGCTTGTCCTTTACCTTTTAATATTAGTATATTTGTGACACGACCAAAATGCATTCCCAATTGTATAATTTCATTTTCATTTTCAATAGGTAAATTTCTAATATGTACAACTTTAGAAGCTGGATAATTATTTTCAACCTTGGCTTTTTTTGCATCATTGGTTTGGATTTGTTCTATATTGTTATCGTTGATGGTTTGAAAACCATTTCCCATTTTACCCATTTGAGTTAAAAAATCTCTTTTAATACCAGAAGAAAGGGAATCTGCCATTCGAATAAATTATCAGATAAAAGCGATTTATTTGAGAGGTAACTATATAATGATAAACATAAGACATAAATATTTATTTATATAATATAAATTGTATATAAATTGTTAATACCATATGATTACTTCGTGTTTATAAAATGGAGGCTAAGGAAGCAGACCGTACACGTTTTGACTGTTTTCGTGATGGCAAAATAATAAAGGTAATTTGATAATGTAATATTAATAAAGAAATGATATTGTCAAGCATCTTCATAGTCTGTTATGTTTATAATAATTATTGGTAATATATGATTATCAGCAAATCATTATATAGCAAAATAATTTTAACATATATTAAATCATATTAGTAGGATACAAGAATTCCGTAAGAGCCAGAATTTATTTATTAAATTTACTACCATGTTTTTATTTAAAAAGTTCAAAATTTAATAGATTTAGCAGAAATAATAGTTAAAAAATTAGGTCCATATTTAGGCTTAAGATATTGAAAGTAGGAGATTAGGAATATATTTTTACACTGGCCCTATATCATCCACCTTTTGTAAAATTATGCTATTTTCAAAATGACTCTTTATACCTAATCAAATATAAAACACCCATGTTGGAATTATACCCTGAATGCTATCTATATAATAAATACGCTAGCCTTTACAATCTCAGGGGTTTCAACTAAAAAAATATTTTTGGGGGGCATCACCCCCACATTCGCCGCCTTCGGCCCACTTTTGACCGACCTTCGGCCGTTTATTAATAAATTATACTTTTTTAAAAGTTTCTACTCTTAACAATTATTCTGAATTTCATATTTTGTCATTTATTATATTATGCATACAAAATAAACTAAATTAAAACACAATACAAGACATTTCTAAGAATAATATTTTTTAATACAAAATCTATTTATTACAGTATAAAATATTTTCGATTGCTGATATAAAAAAATTTTGCCTCTAAAGAATTACAAGTGATAAAAAAGGTTAATTAATTCATACATATGCCTCAATTGATAATGGTTTTTAAAAACCACATAATATAATATAATTCTTAGCAACTTACATTGACAAAAGGTCATGAAACGAAAATGTTTTATAGAATGGGCTAATAAGGAAAAATTTATAGACCTAATCAAATCAACAATTCTTTAAGAAGAGAATATAAACCGCCAATCCAAATAATAAAACTATATGGTGGTTAGAGCTTCATCTTAGCTGACATGATGGAAGCTAGATAAGTAATCGATAATATTATTGTGAGATATTCAATTTCTAAAAAATTATCTTCCATCTTTAATAATATATAAAGGACTAAGTTTACCATCATTGCTTATAATATGCAATCATATGCTTTCAGTAGCTGTAGTAATAATCTTAAATTACATAGCCACGCAAATAATAGATGCTGGATAATTTGCTGTCATAACCATGACCCTCACGATGTTAACACATATCAGAATTTATTATGTAAGATAAATTGATAAAACAAAATACTAAAAATCTTTAGGGGAAATTATACAAATATATTGAAGCCTTATGTTATTTACACGATAAGGATGCCATATTAGAAATGAAACATTTTGTAACTATAAAATAAGAGCTAGAGTGATATGATGAAAGCAATTAACTTTAAATATTATTGTCTCTAGTTGGAATATTATATCTTAAAATAATAGTAGTTTGGAATAATATCAAAAACGAGTTTGAAATCAAGCTAAAAAAATCGGTTAAACAGGAGGAAATCGGCTTCGAATTTGTCTTTAGGCGAAAAATATGTGCTTTAATTCGTAATTCTTATGTTATGATTTACAAATTGAAATTGTTCCTTGTTTATTTTATTATAGTTTTTATGTCCTTTTATATCTACAAAATTTTTATTCAAAATAACTTAAGATAAAATATAATGCGAATATAGTTTATTTAAATATAATAACATTTAAGGTTAAGATAAAAATATAACACGTAACATAATATTTTAAACCTAACATAAATATACTTTATTCAAATACAACATTACTTCACTTAAAGAGTAAAAAGGGTTCATGGGTAGAGATTCGTTCAATATAACAATAGCTAACCAAACAAAAAATTATTAATTTTATCGGCCTATATGAACCCTTTATAGAAAATAATAGGTTTTTTAAATATAATATTATCAACTGATTTAGAATATTGAAAAATAATATATGTTTAATTGAATGAATGGTAAGTAGAATTATGTTAATTTTATAATTAATGGCGTCCGATGCCTTCTACGATAGAACATATTGAAGAGAAGGCCTTTTTAATATATATTCTAGCTATTTCCTAATTGATATATACCAATTAAAATTTTTTATTCTATCATTTATTTTACATTGTTAGAATTATATATTCTAGCTATTTCCTAATTGATATATACCAATTAAAATTTTTTATTCTATCATTTATTTTACATTGTTAGAATTTATTTCCTATCTTCTTCATTCATCTGCATATATATTCAAGTAATGGTACTCAAAAAAGGCAAGAAATAAGGACCCTTGAGAATTAATTTTCAATAATGCGAATGATATTTTTTATTTGTTTTGGCACCTTCTGAAATCCAGGACACTTTTATTTATTTAATAAAAATCTGAAAATGATAAAAGGCACTGAATTATTTTCATTTATTCATATAAAATGTATTCGCATCGAAGATACAATATTTAATTAAGTATCTCAATTTATTTATTTTAACTTCATACCCAATTCTAGTTACACATAGAGAACCATTGTGTCCTATCGGCCGCCGAAAAGGTATTTAAATCATCAAATCCTAGGCAAGTAACATCGCCTTTTAACTAATAAGACAATGGGTGGCATTGATCGACGCACCACCATAAATTTTTATAATATACATTAAATTATATATTACTAATTGAATTTAAGAAATATTAATAAATATATTAATTAAAAATCGAATGTACAGTAATACAGATATACCATCATATTAGAATTTCACAAAAATGAATACTAATTATAGAATCAAATTCAATTTTAAAATTTAAAACAAAATTTATTTCATCCTGTCTAAAATAATGAGAATATCACAGAATTCAACGTCTACCCAGCGATAGAAAAACTCTTTCACTAGGTGAGTAGTTGGTGGAATAAATAATTTTTACGACTAGCTTGGAAAAGTTCAATCCTATTTCCTTTCCAAATTTCGAAAATTCATATCCAGCAGGTATTATTGATAAGAATATAGCATTATTGTTCAAAGTAATTCAAAGTAAAATAATACTTTGTATATACGTTTGAAGTTTTATAACTAAATTTGTTGGGCTCAACTTTTTTGGTTTTAATAAAATATAACTAATATTATTTTATCAAAATTTTTTTGCTTTAAATATTTATATAAAAATTTTGTAGGTTTAGTGCATCAAAAACTGTAAACAAACTTATGTTTAGTTTTAAAAATAAAAAATATTTTAAATTTAAAAAAAATATTGACCTTTCGGTTTAATAAACTTCTGCACACTCTAATTTAAATGACGATTTACATCACACCCCGCCCTTCCCCAAGTTATCATAGTCCTTGCCGGTTTCTCTAAATAATTTTGAAAGATGGATCTTTTGATTTGTAATTGGCTAAATAAAAATGGGCTAAGTTAAACATTCACGATATCATATTTATAAATTCTCCTAAAACATAAAAAAACAAATGAAAAATAAAAGTCCCTATTTTTCATAATTTTATTAATTATTATATATTATTTTCTAGATATATAGCCCCATTCATATAAAAGATAAATAAATTAAACGAGCATTTTTATTTATTTTTCTGGCTATTAATCTTTATTTTCTAAATTTTTTAGCTAGAAAGTTATTATTAATTGTGAAAGACAATATTGTTAACATTTAATTTCTAAAAAATAATATAACCATAACAGAAAGTATGAGAATTATTATTCTTCCTCTTAAGACGACAATGTTTCTCATGTTCGTGAAAGTTTACTTCCTACGTAAATATATGGACTGGAAAAAACTACAAGTGTTTAAATCTAAAGAAGAAGCCAAAAAATATACTTAGGATTCAAATGGTCTATATATTACAAAACTAATTCGATGGAAGGCATTCATTAATATTATATGTGTAATTTAGCTTCTTATAGAGGAAAACAATGTCAAGTAATGCTATATTTAGGATATCATTCCGATTCAGACTACATACATAATAATCAAACACTTTCTAAGTCATGGGTTGAGCTATGAGATTAAAGAATATAAAAATTCATTAATTCCAAATAATATCACAAACTATTCTGTATTCTCAATATCAAAGAGAAGAAATTTAAAGAGCCCAAAATTAATAATTATCTTTATTATATGAAGAAAAAATATATAGGCTAATAACAATGAGTATGGGCCAGTTAGAATAATACTATATAATAAACTCATCAAGATAAAGGTTACATTTATAATTATGAGATAATAAATGATGAACCTGATAATGATGAGATTAATAAATTTCGACTATTTATAACAACAAAAAGGTTGCTAGATATCTTTTTTCTTCAATATTAATTTATTTGATGATACATACAAACTTATATGGCAAGAATGCCCTGTCCTGCTTGAAGGGACTATAAAAATCGGCTAAACTGGGTTTTTAGCCGAAAACTATTACTTCGGCCTCGAGATTTAAAAAAAAATATAATTGAAATTTGAAAGAAACTGGTATGAATTAAAACGCCTTAACTTTAACGGATTTTCTCTGGCACACATCTGTAGATTAAGCCGAATTAGCCGACATTCAGCATTATCCAACTATATAGCTATAAAGTTTCACGCATTTCGATTGTCTATATTTTCAAATGAAAATCAGGATGATTTTGCGATTATATTTTCAAGTGTATTAGAAAGTTTAGAAAATTTAAACCTTCGCCTATTAAACCCTCATTTCTAATATTAGATGCTGCTGATACAATTAAAATTGGTTATGAAAGTGTTTTTAGAGTTGACCATAATCATATCATATGCTGGGTTCATATGCACCAATGGAAAAAAGAATTCGGTCTATCAAATATTCTTCAAATGAAGTTTTGGCTGACATAGATTTTATTTAAATATTCTATAATAGAGATCTGTTCAATTTATTCTTTAAAAAGGGAAAGGAAAGTCAAATGATATTGACTTATTATTAAATTATAAAATGAATGGGTCGATAGCGTAGTGAGTGGTATGAAGGAATTT